TGGCATGGGACTGTCCAGGTGATAAAGTAAGTCTTTGTTGAACACGTTCAGCAGTTTGTTCGTTGAGTTTTGGTCTTTACTTTACTGTGTCATCCATGTGACTTGAATTATAATGGTGGGCTGTGGCAGAGGATTTTGTTGTAAAGAAGACCACTGACGGGCCGTGAGGTAGGGGTAAACTTTTGAATGGGAAGGATTTGTGCAACGCCACTTGGCAGAAAGGTGGTCCAGAATGTTTGCCGGAGCATGGGCTACTTTAAATTTGGCGGCAAAGTACGAAGCAGGAACACTGTCAAAAATACGATATATTTAAAATACATACAATTGTAAAACATATATGTTTAATACGATTATATATACACTTTTCAAAACAATATATGTATAGTAAATACATACAATTGTAAAACATATATGCTTAAGAAGAAAATAAATATACATTTTTCAAAACAATATATATATCTTAAATACATATAATTCCAAAACATATATTATTCACAAAAAGTGGTGTTCCCAAAACCCCTATCATACGAAAACATATATTGTTCACAAAAGTGGTGTTTCCAAAACCCCTTTTATATGAAAACAGGAAGTGGTGTTTCCAAAACCCCTATCATTTCTCTAAACCTATATATGTTTTCAGTGCACGCGGTAACACTGTCAAATCCTTAACCAGAGTTTCTAGCATGGGCGACCACACTACTGTTGTGGGGGTGAGAGAGAAAAAAACAGATTTTTTTCGCCTAGGTTTCTTCCCCTCTTGTCCAGTGATTCTTAAAGCTACGCGTAATTAATTTTCATTCCAAAAAGCCTTTTCATTATTGTATTTTGGTCAGATCTTTGCATATGAATCACACTAAAAATAGGGGGCGCCAAGGATTGTTACAGAGTAGATTCTTCCGATTAGAACTCTTCCTTTCGCAAATCTCTGCCGTCCGCGGGTTTAGTGGCCCCTCGGAGGCCGGCTGGATATAGTCTCCACCAGACTTCTTTTGCGGGTTGAATAAAAAAAAAAAGAAATTGGCCTAAAAAGTATCAATTGGCCAGAGAAGGTAGCCGGCCAGAGAAGCTCCATTTCCCTGTCGAGCCTTTTTAGGCCAATTTCTACGATTTATTCACCCCGCAAAAGAAGTCTGGTGGAGACTACACAAACTCTGCGGGAAGGTAAAAGCCGCGGACGGCAGAGTTTGCGTTACACAGACTATGGCTAGATGTACTTATTAGCGTAATTAGCAACAATGTGTTAACTTTTGTACACAAAAACATGTAATTAAAGACCTTTGTGGCAAACTGTTTGATCCTAAGATCCTGAAAATTTGAAGATTGTGGCATGGAAAGTTTAAGAGTTACAATAAAATGTATGTCAAATATTGTTGATTTACGGTCTCTTTTGGTGCCATGACTAGCTTAGAGTCAATTCCGTGTCACCGTGTTGCTTTTTTCTCCATGTTTGTAAGAAAAGAATACCCCAGTAACAAAAGTTCTAAATTTTTAGAAAATTTGAAAATTAAAATTTGAATATTATTAGATATTTCTGAAACATTTTGAAAGTGGCTGTACAAAGATCTCTTTATTTAGAATAGATTTGAGCTATCCGTGTGTTTCTTTCACTATTTGAAATATTTCAAACAAATAACCAGATGGTAGATGTGGGTAATTGCCCCCATAAAAGTAGGTGCTAATCCGACTCTTCTGTCTTCTTCTGTATATTTTTAGATTTCGCTGGACACTGGTGGCTCTTTTGTTGTAAGGCTAGGCATCAATGCCTGACACCCAGGCAGACTAGCCTGTACTTCACAGGTGACGAAGAATTGACTCTATTCCCATATAACCAATGGCAACACTTGAGCATCTTCTGATGAAACCGTCAAAAGTGTAAACTGTAAAAAATTCTAGAAAATATCAACTTTTATGCGAAAGGAAGAGTTCTGATCGGAAGAATCTACTCTGTAACAATCCTTGGCGCCCCCTATTTTTAGTGTGATTCATATGCAAAGATCTGACCAAAATACAATAATGAAAAGGCTTTTTGGAATGAAAATTAATTACGCGTAGCTTTAAGAATCACTGGACAAGAGGGGAAGAAACCTAGGCGAAAAAAATCTGTTTTTTTCTCTCTCACCCCCACAACAGTAGTGTGGTCGCCCATGCTAGAAACTCTGGTGAGAGATTTGACAGTGTTACCGCGTGCACTGAAAACATATATAGGTTTAGAAATGATAGGGGTTTTGGAAACACCACTTCCTGTTTTCATATGATAGGGGTTTTGGAAACACCACTTTTTGTGAACAATATATGTTTTCGTATGATAGGGGTTTTGGGAACACCACTTTTTGTGAACAATATATGTTTTGGAATTATATGTATTTAAGATATATATATTGTTTTGAAAAATGTATATATATTTTCTTCTTAAGCATATATGTTTTACAATTGTATGTATTTACTATACATATATTGTTTTGAAAAGTGTATATATATTCTTATTAAACATGTATGTTTTACAATTGTATGTATTTTAAATATATATATCGTATTTTTGACAGTGTTCCTGCTTCGTACATTATGTTCCTGTGTAGAGATATAAATACTATGCCTTTGGAAACTCATCTATAAGCAGTGGCGCCTGTGCTGTGCATGTGCAGCGTAAAACAATAAAAAATGGGCGATGGGCCACCAAGGTTCAGTTGAAATCGCTGAACTCGATCTACGTAAGCGCACTGTTTTTGTTTAGAAAGGAACGTGATCCCCGCGATTCGCATCATGAAAGAATGTACAACCCCATCCTCAACAGGGAAGGGGGGGTGCGGGTGGATCTCTCCGGCACTTGTTTTTTGCACTCCCAGCCCCGAGGACAGACAACACTTAAGCTCCTGTTCTGCATAACAGGAGCTTTCTGACTAATTTGTATTATCTTGTCTTGACTTGTCTGACTTTTGTTCCCTTTTCGACTTACAAAAATTTGTCTTCATTTTATTTGCATATCAATCAATAGTTTGTGCTTATAAACCTGCATTTCACCTCTGGTCTGTCAGTCACTGACGAAAGCAAGTGGATACAAGCTAAAACGTCTGACGTTTTCAAAATCATATCCAGTTGCTAGAGTAACTGCTTTTTGGCGTATCGTATTACCTGGATGTCTAACCTTCATCGACGTATTATGGGTATTACCTGAAATAAAGTCATTCATAACAAAAAGAATGAAGACAATAAAGACAATTGACAATTTCGCACACACACAAATAGCATGGACAGTACAATACTGTGAATTATGACTTTTATTTGGTGTATTTACAACCACAACCGCAGTAGTTGAATATCATTATATAAACAGGGATTCTGGCCCTAAAAATCTGTATGGCTAAATCTATGACGTCATGACGTCAAAACGACACAGTGTGCGTTAGTTTTATCAGTTTTATTTGATGGTATGGACCTCTAAAAGATTGTTAAAATTGATTTGAAAACTTAACATTATTTCATTAATTAGCTACGAGTAGTTGAGTATTGAGTTGAATACTGAATATCGAATGTCGAGTGTTGGATCTATGACGTCATGACGTGAAACCGACGCAATGTGCGTTAGTTGTATCAGCTTTATTTGGTGGTATGGACCTCGAAAAGATTGTTGAAATTGATTTGAGAACTAGAAATTAGTTCGTTAATTGGGTACGAGTAGTTGAATATCATTATATAAACAGGGATTCAGGCCCTACAAATCGTTATGGTTGAATCCATGACGTCATGACGTCAAAACGACGCAAGGTGCGTTAGATTTATCAGTTTTATTTGATGGTATGGACCTTTAAAAGATTGATAAAATTAATTTGAAAACTTAGAATTATTTCCTTAATTAGCTACGAGTAGTTGAATATTGAGTTGTATATTGAATATCGAATATAGAGTGTTGGATCTATGACGTCATGACGTCAAAATGATACAATGTGCGTTAGTTTTATCACTTTTGTTGGTGGTATGTACCTCTAAAAGATTGTTAAAAACCATTTGAATACTGACAATTATTTCGTTAATTAGCAACGAGTAGTTGAATATCATTATATAAACAGGGATTCAGGCCCTACAAATATGTATGGTTAAATATATGACGTCATGACGTCCAAACGACGCAATGTGCGTTGGTTTTATCAGTCCAATCTTGTGGTATGGACCTCTTGAGAATTTGTAAAAGACATTTGGTTTCTAGAAATTATTCCGTTACTTTGCAACATGGCGTTTATTCTCTATGAATACACTAGTGTTGCGATCCTCGAAAATCCGTATACTTGAATCTATGACGTCATGACGTCTAAACTTCGTAATGTGCATTAGTTTTGCCAGTTTTATCTGATGGTATAGACCGCTTTAAGATTGTTAAAAAACATTTGAATACTGAAAATTATTTCGTTACTTTGCTACAACGCGTTAAATAGACATAGACCGCGGTTGCTGTTCTGCAAATCTGTATGGTTGAATCTATGACGTCATGACGTAAAAACGACGCAATGTGCGTTATTTTGATCAGTTTCATTTGTTGCTATGGAGAACTAGACTCATCATCATCATATCTTGTCGGCCCACTGCTCCAGCCAGTCCAGGGCTTCTTGGTTTACATCGTACAGGTCTCGTAGAGAACTGAAGGATTGTTAAGGCCATTTCAGTAGTATAGTGTCGACAGAGTAGGTATTATTGTGGCGTGTGGCGTGAGGCTATAGCTTGTGGCGTGTGGGTATAGCTTGCGGCTTCGGTTTGTGGAGTGACGTCCCTTGGGGGAATTGGAATGAAAGGATATATAGAGGTCATTGTGGCGGATGGACGGTGGTATTATTTATTAAGGGTAGGTTGTGTACTGTATGTATTGCTGTGTCAGTATGGACGTGTTGAAATCCCAAACGGAAGACATATTCCATCACCTGCTCCACCACAGAGCTTCCAACGTGTTTCCTGGAAACAGGCGATTGGAAAATAGAGCAATATACCGTAAGGTTGTGCAAGTGTCAAACGATATGACGGAGAGGAAAGAGTGGGCTGATCTCCTCTGTTGTTTTGTCTCTACAACAACAACAACAACAACAACAACAAACGGGGCTTCACGACTGAGAGACCTGCTAGAAAACGTGCTTAACGAGGACGGATTGAACTGGGGGCGTGTCATCACCGCAATGATTTTTGCTTTGGATGTACGTGTCAAGTTACACGAGTCACAAACGAGCCAAGAAAACGCGATATGCTCAGAGTTAGCCGAGTTGATGTGCGTCATAGCGGGGAGGTGGCTGTTACGACGCAGAGGGTGGAGTGGAATGATTGACGCTGCAGAGCCGTCGATATTAGTGACTGTTGTGGACATTATCTGTCGTATGTGGAGTGCGCCTGTTTGCGTTATTGTATCGTGACTGTGAACAAGATTCAGAACGTGTTTGGCATGTCAACAAATCTGCTTGGTAATTTGTTAAGACGTACGAAGTTTGTGTATAAAGCCAGAAGAACTTTGTCCCTCTTCACTCCCGATTTCTGAAGAATGCTGTTATTTACAGTCACGAATTATAACACTATTAATAGATTTACAATGTACATACCCTACAAATGTGTTAAATGCTGTACTTGCAGGTAAGACTCAAACATCCGAAAAGACTAAAACTATAAACAACTATGCATTCAATTTCAATTCATCTTACAGTGTTGACCTTGGCCAAGTTGGACTGTCCTACATGACAATTTGTCCCGTGCTTCCGATTTTAGCGTTCTCGTAACACAGAACTGGGGGGGGGGTCTACTCAAATAATCTCCATACATTTCACTTTATTCTATAAGCTATTACTAACAGAATAACAAACAAGTATACTTCTACTAGTAGTCTTATGCTACATAATACTTATACTTTATTGTGGAATGCAAGCTTAATACTGTCATAATTATCAGACAATTTGTTTTGAGTGTTTGGGTAATGTTCCTCAGTGTAAAAGCTGTCTTCAGTTGTCGCCATGTTTTCAAAGGATCGCCACATGAATTGTTGGAACATAAAGTCACATATTGACAACAGCAAGTGAATTTTATGACGATATCCTCCACAGACTTCACATTTAAAGCGATAGGGTGAACAAAACAAGGCGGGCATTTTCAAATTAGGAGATAATAAACTTTGAAATAACAGGTCAGCTGCAGAGAAAAGAAAGACGGATTTTTTTTGTTAATGGTAATGATAAAGTTCGCAGTACAGAAGTGACGAACGTACATAACGAACATATTTACCGCGGCAAAATCAGGAATTACAGTAATAAACATCGAGATATTCTCGTCACACCCGTGTTACTCGCCTGAAAACACGCTCTTATTATTCCGGAGCAAGGCCGACTATTGTCAGCAGTATCAATATTTAAATAGCCATCACCTGAGTTCTGCCAGTGTCCTATGTTGTTCCTCGTCACCATAGTGACGGACCAAAATACCTGAACAAGGAGTGTGTCGCATACTACATAGTCTTTGTAACTTATAAAGGTAGATAAATCCCCATAGTATGTTTGTTATACAGCAATCCTGTACAATTGTTGTGCAACAAAGTTTATTGTCATTGATTACCCCCACCCTGGTGAATTGCTGTGTAAGGGAAGTCAAATAAGGCAGAAATTGGACAAAGATGACAACAATAACAATGCCATAAAAGCTATTAAACAATATCCAGAAAAAGCGCACGGAAACTCTTATATTGTTTCGTGACGTTACGTTTGTGCCCACTCACTATTTCAGACTAATAAAGAACGGACGTTGAATGGGAACTCCAACATAGACTGTTTATATTCTAATGAAAGATCTGTCCTTTTCAATTATATCAAAGAGAAGTTCCCAACACCTAAGCGCAAATGATAAATTTATATTTTTGATGCGTCTAGACAAACCCTGTATCACAAACATGATCTGCTCCCACATTTTTCACTGTACAAAAAAAGCGAGAAGAAGTTGACCTCTCTATATTAGCTCAGTGACTAGAACACTTTGTATTAGCCTAGTATAGTACCCTTGTATGTTCCTTATGTATGTATGTCTAAGTCAAGTAGTGCATCTTTTGTCTCCAATTCTTTATATACGTTTGTTATGTGTCTGTTATACCTTGACCTGTACCTAGCCCGTCGTGGCATGAATGTACAATAAAGGTATTTCATTATATCAAACCGCGTACATGTAGGCATGAGTCATGGATCCGGAAGGCGCTGTCGTCATGTCTTCACAGGATCGCCACAGCGCGCGCCTTCTTGAATTGTTGGAACATGAAGCGTTAGGCAACAGCAAGTAAATTCTATGGATGAGATCTTCATGATATTGAGGTTTTCTTGTGGCGCCGAATGGTAGCCGTACAGGCCTTTGCGACGGTTCCTCAAAAACTGGATAGCAAATATGTATACGTATACCATATGTATTATTTGATTGTGATGTTTTCCAGTCGAAGGGGCAATGCTCTAGAACACGCTTATTTTGTAATAGCGCGCTTTTGGCGCGGGCGGGGGGCTTCCCCGTGAAAACACCCTTTACGTTTACGAGTGTGGTAAAAAAAGGCTCGGTGTTTCCATTTGAATTTTGGTATGCTAAAAAAAGGCTTTAACAAGTCTAACGGTTTTTGTTAGAGATGAATAAAGGTTGTAGTGGTTGTCCGTTGAAAATTGCTAATCCTACGGCCATGTTTGTACGGCTGCTTTGAGCAAATAGGATTGATGATCCCTCTTGAAACTGTGTGTGCTGATTCCCTAAAATGTCAGTTACTTTTATTTCTTTACCGTATACATAGAATTGACGTTACCTGCACCTGATGATGTTATTTCTCATTCCACAGTAACCAGCGTCACCGGATGTGGAGGTGACCTGACGGCTCCTTCTGGAGGCCCTGTGACGTCACCTAACTACCCCAGTAACTATGGCAACAATGAGAACTGTGAGTGGTCGATCACTGTACCAGAGGGAAGCATCATTCGCCTCACGTTTGACAGCTTCTACACTGAGAGGAATTATGACTTTCTCACCATCTACGATGGAGCCAGTGATAATGCTGCAGAGATGGGAGAGTAATTATTATCATTTATTTGTTTCAGACACTCACTGGTCCTTACTTAAACAGTAGAGCAACAAAACCCAAATACATACACAACACACACATGAAAATCAAATTCTATATAAAAGACGTTTTATTTATTTATTTATTGCTCTTAAAACAGTTGGGTGGTACCTTCAGTCTCTGAAAGACTGATTTCCAAGGTAGCCCAACAGAACATACACAATGGACAACATGGAATACAATAAAATTAAACAAAATAAAACAGATTAATCAAATGATCAATCGTAGCAAATGACAATAAATGATATAAACAGAGGGTACACGTTATCAATCATACAAACACAACGGAACAACCAAAACAAATAGTCAAAATCGTTAGGCATAGTCGTATTGTCAAATAATGACAGTCGGTTGTCCGTGAGGTCAGGGTCAGAGGTCGTATGTTCTTAGCGCTACTTTAAAGGCATTTATTGTTGATGCCTGTTTAGTTACCGTGTTAAGCGAGTTATAGGATGAAGCTGCTCTGTACTTAAATGTTCTCTGTCCAGTTCTGTTTGTGTATTTGGGTTTACGCAGTAGATTTGCTTGTCTTGTGTTGTACTGATGTGTTTGGTGGTTGTAGCTGAAACAGTGTAGCAGGTAATCAGGTGCAAGTCCATGTAGACACTTGTAGACCATTGTACAGGTATGGTGGGTCCTCCTTTCCTCTAGTGGTCTCCAACCCAGTGTCTGGTGTAGTTCGCTTACACTCGAGCGCAGTTCCCTTCTCAGGATTATCCTGGCAGCCCTGTTCTGGAGGAGTTGAAGTTGCTGTTTGGAGGTAGCATTGCAACTATCCCAAACCACATCACAATATTCAAGAATGGGGTAGAACTAGAGTTTTATACAACAGACATGCAATATCAGTGGTTAAGTACGGCCTTAAACGTCTCAGCAGGCCGAGACGTTGGGCCACTTTGG